CTATTTTTTCTACACCGATCGTCCGATCCAATTTCTGATGGTGGCAATCGATAGCTAGGGTCAGAATCTCGAGTTCTCTAGTATATACCTTATTAAAAATATTTGACCTTAAAGGTCAAATCACGGATATTTGACCTTAAAGGTCACATCATGGATTGAAATTTTGAGTCCCCCGATTTTTTCTACACCGATCGTCCGATCCCATTTCTGAAGGTCGCATTCGATAGCTAGGGTCAGAATCTCGAATTCCCTAATATATACCTTATTAAAAATATTTGACCTTAAAGGTCAAATCACGGATTGAAATTTTGAGTCCCCAATTTTTTCTACACCGATCTTTCGATCCGAATTCTGATGGTCGCATTCGATAGCTAGGGTCAGAATCTCGAGTTCCCTCTTATATACCTTATTAAAAATATTTGACCTTAAAGGTCAAATCACGGATTGAAATTTTGAGTCCCCCTATTTTTTCTACACCGATCGTCCAATCCAATTTCTGATGGTCGCATTCGATAGCTAGGGTCAGAACCTCGAGTTCCCTAATATATACCTTGTTATAAATATTTGACCTTTAAGGTCAAATCACGGAAATTTGACCTTAAAGGTCACATCACGGATTGAAATTTTGAGTCCCCCGATTATTTCTACACCGATCGTCCGATCCGATTTCTGAAGGTCGCATTCGATAGCTAGGTTCAGAATCTCGAATTCCCTAATATATACCTTATTAAAAATATTTGACCTTAAAGGTCAAATCACGGATATTTGACCTTAAAGGTCACATCACGGATTGAAATTTTGAGTCCCCCGATTTTTTTCTACACCGATCGTCCGATCCGATTTCTGAAGGTCGCATTCGATAGCTAGGGTCAGAATCTCGAATTCCCTAATACATACCTTATTAAAAATATTTGACCTTAAAGGTCAAATCACGGATTGAAATTTTGAGTCCCCCAATTTTTTCTACACCGATCGTCTGATCCGATTTCTGATGGTCGCATTCGATAGCTATGGTCAGAATCTCGAGTTCCCTAATATATACCTTATTAAAAATATTTGACCTTAAAGGTCAAATCTCGGATATTTGACCTTAAAGGTCACATCACGGATTGAAATTTTGAGTCCCCCGATATTTTCTACACCGATCGTCCGATCCGATTTCTGAAGGTCGCATTCGATAGCTAGGGTCAGAATCTCGAATTCCCTAATCAATACCTTATTAAAAATATTTGACCTTAAAGGTCAAATCACGGATTGAAATTTTGAGTCCCCAATTTTTTCTACACCGATCGTCCGATCCCATTTCTGAAGGTCGCATTCGATAGCTAGGGTCAGAATCTCGAATTCCCTAATATATACCTTACCAGTATAGCGCCTTTTGGGGCGACTAACGGAGCGAGCGAGGGGGTGAGTGTTGCACGTGCGAGATTTCGAGGGGGTACCTCCAACTGACTTGTGCACGGCACCCTACTGACCGGTTTCTAGCGATGTGCCAAATTTGAGCACAATCGGCCCAGCCGTTCTCGAGATCTGGGAGCGGCACCCTGCACGTGCGCACGTGCAAAATGGGTCCCAACTGACTTGTGCACGGCACCCTACTAACTGGTCCCTAACCGTGTACCAAATTTGAGCGCCATCGGTCCAGCCGTTCTCGAGATCTGGAAACGACCCCTGCACGTGCGCACGTGCAGCAGCACCCCAACTCTAGCACATGGATATGCAGTGCCTAGTGGTTGCCTTCCTACATGCCAACTTTCAGCGCAATCGGCCAAGTAGTTACCGAGATATTGCAACAATTACAAAACTGACACCTCTTCGTTTTGCACGTGGCAAGTGCATAAGGGGTCACCCACATGCATCGGGAATAGTCCAATACTTGGTAGAAGGAAGGAAGCTACCCTACAAAAATTACCGCGTGTAAATCGGTCAAGTGGTTGCTGAGATATAAGCCTCGCAAAAGCGTCCGCACGGCCGGCCGGCCGGCCGGCCGGCCGCTCATACTCAGAAATTTCCGTTAATCTAAGGAAAGACTCCGCTCGCTTCGCTCGCTCCGTAATTTAAAATATTTGACCTTAAAGGTCAAATCACGGATTGAAATTTTGAGTCCCCAATTTTTTCTACACCGATCTTTCGATCCGAATTCTGATGGTCGCATTCGATAGCTAGGGTCAGAATCTCGAGTTCCCTTTTATATACCTTATTAAAAATATTTGACCTTAAAGGTCAAATCACGGATTGAAATTTTGAGTCCCCCTATTTTTTCTACACCGATCGTCCAATCCAATTTCTGATCGTCGCATTCGATAGCTAGGGTCAGAACCTCGAGTTCCCTAATATATACCTTGTTATAAATATTTGACCTTAAAGGTCAAATCACGGATATTTGACCTTAAAGTTCACATCACGGATTGAAATTTTGAGTCCCCCGATTTTTTCTACACCGATCGTCCGATCCGATTTCTGAAGGTCGCATTCGATAGCTAGGGTCAGAATCTCGAATTCCCTAATATATACCTTTTTAAAAATATTTGACCTTAAAGGTCAAATCACGGATATTTGACCTTAAAGGTCACATCACGGATTGAAATTTTGAGTCCCCCGATTTTTTCTACACCGATCGTCCGATCCGATTTCTGAAGGTCGCATTCGATAGCTAGGGTCAGAATCTCGAATTCCCTAATATATACCTTATTAAAAATATTTGACCTTAAAGGTCAAATCACGGATTAAAATTTTGAGTCCCCCAATTTTTTCTACACCGATCGTCTGATCCGATTTCTGATGGTCGCATTCGATAGCTATGGTCAGAATCTCGAGTTCCCTAATATATACCTTATTAAAAATATTTGACCTTAATGGTCAACTCACGGATATTTGACCTTAAAGGTCACATCACGGATTGAAATTTTGAGTCCCCCGATATTTTCTACACCGATCGTCCGATCCGATTTCTGAAGGTCGCATTTGATAGCTAGGGTCAGGATCTCGAATTCCGTAATCTATACCTTATTAAAAATATTTGACCTTAAAGGTCAAATCACGGATTGAAATTTTGAGTCCCCAATTTTTTCTACACCGATCGTTCGATCCAATTTCTGATGGTCACATTCGATAGCTAGAGTCAGAATCTCGAGTTCTCTAATATATACCTTATTAAAAATATTTGACCTTAAAGGTCAAATCACGGATTGAAATTTTGAGTCCCCCTATTTTTCTACACCGATCGTCCGATCCAATTTCTGATGGTCGCATTCGATAGCTAGGGTCAGAATCTCGAGTTCCCTAATATATACCTTATTAAAAATATTTGACCGTAAAGGTCAAATCACGGATTGAAATTTTGAGTCCCCCTATTTTTTCTACACCGATCGTCCGATCCAATTTCTGATGGTCGCATTCGATAGCTAGGGTCAGAATCTCGAGTTCCCTAATATATACCTTATTAAAATATTTGACCTTAAAGGTCAAATCACGGATATTTGACCTTAAAGGTCACATCACGGATTGAAATTTTGAGTCCCCCGATTTTTTCTACACCGATCGTCCGATCCCATTTCTGAAGGTCGCATTCGATAGCTAGGGTCAGAATCTCGAATTCCCTAATATATACCTTATTAAAAATATTTGACCTTAAAGGTCAAATCTTGGATTGAAATTTTGAGTCCCCAATTTTTTCTACACCGATCTTTCGATCCGAATTCTGATGGTCGTATTCGATAGCTAGGGTCAGAATCTCGAGTTCCCTTTTATATACCTTATTAAAAATATTTGACCTTAAAGGTCAAATCACGGATTGAAATTTTGAGTCCCCCCATTTTTTCTACACCGATCGTCCAATCCAATTTCTGATGGTCGCATTCGATAGCTAGGGTCAGAACCTCGAGAGTTCCCTAATATATACCTTGTTATAAATATTTGACCTTAAAGGTCAAATCACTGATATTTGACCTTAAAGGTCACATCACGGATTGAAATTTTGAGTCCCCCGATTTTTTCTACACCGATCGTCCGATCCGATTTCTGATGGTCGCATTCGATAGCTATGGTCAGAATCTCGAGTTCCCTAATATATACCTTATTAAAAATATTTGACCTTAAAGGTCAAATCACGGATTGAAATTTTGAGTCCCCCTATTTTTTTCTACACCGATCGTCCGATCCAATTTCTGATGGTCGCATTCGATAGCTAGGGTCAAAATCTCGAGTTCCCTAATATATACCTTATTAAAAATATTTGACCTTAAAGGTCAAATCACGGATATTTGACCTTAAAGGTCACAACACGGATTGAAATTTTGAGTCCCCCGATTTTTTCTACACCGATCGTCTGATCCGATTTCTGAAGGTCGCATTCGATAGCTAGGGTCAGAATCTCGAATTCCCTAATATATACCTTATTAAAAATCTCAAGCCGAAAAAAAACTAAAATTAAATAAATATAAAAATAAATAAAAACTGCGGTAGGTATTACCCCCCCCCCCCCCAACAGTGGGCAAAATCCGAGGAGTTTTCCTTTTTGGAGGGGGTACGACCGTACGACACTAGGCCGCGACCTGTGGCCCTCCCTGAGGAAAATCCTGGCTACGTGCCTGATCTCCGGGAATCGGTTCATGTAGACCGGCGTTTACGTAGCCTCGTCTCTATATCTATGCTCGTGGCTCTGAAGTTAAGCGATGCATGGCTGAGCGTTTTCAAGCAAGTCATTTTTTAATGCCAAATCAATTTAAAAAAAAGAGAAAACACTTTGAAAGCCCATGTTTTTGGGAAATCCATGTAAAAAAGAATATTTTTGGCGCTCTTGATAAACGACATTTCTGACGCTACTAGGACAAAATACAAGCCAAACCTGAGGTGTTTTTTATCCACATGCCCCCAGGCTACTGACGCTTCGCGGACTCTCATTGGTGTATAAACAGGTGAGTCATGCTGTTCACCAATGAGATGCCGAGAGACATGAGGGTGAGCAGCTTCGTAGGAGCCAGCAGCGTGGTGATAAAAACAGGCATCAAGCTGCAAGGCTCAAAAACTTGCTCGAAGGGGTGACGCGACGATGGATGAGCCGTTTTGTTCTGGGTTAAATTAAAAGCAATTATTCTTCCTTGTCGCCAGTACTTCGGAATGATAGATGATTGATCAGTGTGTGCCTTTATTACCGATTTGAATCAATTTTGTCTGCTATCTACTTGTTAGTTAGGAAGGTATGTACCTGGGTACCTTCCCAGTGCTAATATTTGCTTTTTATTCCTCATTAATAGGTGCTTGAATGTTCTGAATTTAAGGGATTTTTTTTCAATCAACTTCAATATTTTCAAAACTGAATTGATGATAAACATTTTGGTATTGTTTCAGCATGTTGCGCTTGCTGCTGAGGTTGGGTCCGAGGTCAACTCTGCGGAGCTGTGCTGCTTCCTGTTCCATTCATGGCAGCAACACCATAATCAGAGCATACTCCACAAGAAGTCTCAGACACCTCCAAGAGAGGGGACTGCTGTCTGAAATATTTCCAGATGACGGGTAAGATTTAAATAATTTTCTGCATTTGCATCCATTTGGAATTTTATGGTGCTAAATATTATTTTTCTTGTTTTGATTTAGGTCCTTTTTGTGCATTATTTGTCATATGTATTTCCTAGAAATGTATGGTAATTGGTAGGTACTATTGGTTATTAGAGTAATCAGTTGGCTTTTAGATATTGAAACTGTTGCAAAGTAAAAAGCTATCCATTTTTATTTCTCAACCTCACATTAGATCAAATTATTGTTTTTGCTTTCACATGTTGTACATTTGACCTTCTTAGACTCTCTGTCAGCAGCCGACTGCAGGACGTGCTAAACTCGTCAGAGCAGTGCTTCTACAGTGGCTTCGACCCCACGGCTGACTCCCTGCATGTGGGAAACCTGCTTGTTCTGGTGGCCCTGCTGCACTGCCAGAGGGCAGGACATGATGTCATTGCTGTGGTGAGTTGATGCCTGCCATTCATCATCCGATGTAATTTAAAGTTTCTGTGTAGTGTGAGTTAGCTAGTATATTTCTCATTTGAAAAGATTCAGTTTGTGGTGGTCCAAAAATATGTTCAAGTGGTGTTCCCATGTGTTCACATAGCCTTGACTTAAGTGATGATGTGCCCAATTGCCATGGATTGTTTTTCACCTTGACACATTCATTTTTGTTTTGTTGTTGTTTTTTTTATAGTAATTTTTATATCAATGGCTTGGACTTTAGTGGAAGCCAGAGACATTACAAGTTCATTCACGGCCAGATAGGTGGCGCCACGGGTCAGATCGGCGACCCCAGCGGACGGCGGACCGAGCGCTCCCCGATGGAGGTCGAGACCGTGGAAAAGAACGCCTCGGCCATCGAGGAGAACCTGCGCCGCGTGTTCTCCAACCACGAGCGGTACTTTTGGCGAGAGCGTGGCGAAACGGACCCTCTGCCGCCTCTGAGGTAGGTACTCAAACTTGTGGAACATCGGCAGAAATGTATTTAAGGACCGAAATGATGTGCATGCTCTTGCAATGGTGCTTCTTTGTTGTATTCTATGCTCTAAGGTGATTAGTTAATGTGTTTGCTCTCCGTGTGCAGGGTATTGAACAACATGGAGTGGTACTCGCAGTATTCGCTGGTGGATTTTCTCGCCATCATCGGACGCAGGTGATAATACGACTGAACATTGAACCTAATGTTCGATGGAAACCAAACACGCATGATTATATCTGGCGTGAAATGTTGGAACACTAGGCTACCTTTTTCTCTCAGCTTAACCTCTATTATATCTGGTGATAATAAAAAGAGGTAGCAGTTATGCATATGGATAGCAGTTATACAAATCTAAATATTTATTAGTCGTCCTAGCCTCTATTTTTTTCAATGGCTTAGTGCTTATTTTGTTCTTGCTTTCAGGTGTGAATTCATTGTGAGTTTCAATTACATTTTCTTTAGGAGAAAAAGAGAAGATGTCGCTTTTCTTACTCAGCTACAACAAAACACCAAACAACTGATCAGCATAAACAATCCAGTTTCCACGGTCACCGAAACGTAACATGTAACCCCTAACCCAAGACCATGTAACCCTCCTTGTGACCTCTGCCGGCCCTGGCTCACGTTGCCGGACTCTGACAGCTGCCCTCCCCCGGTCGCCAGGTTTCGGATGTCCAACATGCTGTCTCGGGCGTCGGTCCAGTCGCGCCTTCAGAGCCCTGACGGCATGAGCTTCACCGAGTTCACCTACCAGGTGTTCCAGGCGTATGACTGGCTCTACCTGTGGCGGCGGCACGGCTGCGCCTTCCAGGCAAGGGACGGGAGCGGCGAGGGATGGAGGGGTACAGACCAGAGGGGAAGGGACGGAGGGATGAAGGAATAACAGGAGCCAGGATCAGGGTGGGAGAGGCAGGGAGAGGGATATGGTAGGGTCGGCAGGTAGGGGCGGGGATCCAGAGGGCGATATGGAATTGGCGGAGGTTAGAGAAGAATACGAATGGAGGATTTAGAGAGGGATGGAGGAGCTGTCCCGGAGTGGAAAAATAGCAATTTTCGAGGCATCTTAATCAGCAGTTCACCATAATATCACGCGACCTCCGTACCGTGCAAACACAGCGGTGTCACTTGACCTCTGCACCCACACTCCGACCGGTGTCACGTGACCTCTGCACCCACACTCAGACCAGTCCGACCGATGTCACGTGATTTTTGTACCAGCTCCCCGAGCGCTGGCGTCACGTGACCAATGTTCCGGTGACGTCACACAGGTGGGCGGCGCCGACCAGCGGGGTAACATGGTCTCCGGCTACGAGCTCATTACCGGCACCACCGACGAGGAGGTCGACGTGTTTGGTGAGAGCTCCTCCGCAGTGGCGGCGCGACGCGGTCAAAGGCACGCACATAGCTCAGAAAGTAGCCGGGAAGCCACGTGTATCAGAAGAACGGGCTCAGACCACCGTTATAGAAGCGTAGATCATATGTCAAAGGCATACTTTTGAGCACAGAATATCTTCGTGAACTCAGTTATGGGGCATTTTGAGGCATATTGATGTCCATTAATTCATTAGAGTATCCAGATGTTTTCGTGGATTCATGTCATACATCACGTACCCCTCCCTCTAACAATAGATTACCCCCCCCCCCCCCTGCCAGGTCTGTCGGTGCCCCTCATCACGTCAGAGGAGGGCGCCAAGCTGGGGAAGTCGGCCGGCAACACGGTGTGGCTGGACCCGCAGCGCACCTCGCCGTTCGACCTGTACCAGTACTTTGTGCGCCGACCCGACGGCGAGGCGGAGCGACTGCTGCTGCTGTTTACGTTCTACCCGCCGGCCCAGGTGGCGGCCATCATGGAAAAACATCACGTGAGGAGTCGCGGCTACTAAATCGGTATCTTGTGAAATGTTTGATTTGTTTGTTGTTTTGTGTGTTTGATATTTTTTGTTATGATAGTTAAGAGGTGCTTAACCCGCGCCCGGCTGGGGGTCCTGGATTTCCACGCCCTGCTGGAGGGGGGGGGGGGTGTTTGAACAACCCCCCCTTGTAACTCGGCTCCTGGGCCACGTAGCGATACGCGGAAGGCGGCGTTCGAAAGAGCGTCAAAAATAATGACGAAATCACTTCGGTCAAGTTTTTGGTCAGGTCAAAGGTCAGGTCACCAGAGGTCATTGAAGGCAAAATTTCGCCGATTTCCAGGTCAAATATCGAAAATTTCCAAGAAGCCAACGCATAACTCGGGAACCAATAGAGCTACGGCGCCGCGGAAAAGCGCATTCGATAGCCCTATTAATGCCCTTTCTGAGTAATTATCTCAGATTTGACCTAACGTCAACGGTTTTGCCTGCAGGGGGCAAAAACTGCAAAAGTAGACGATTTTTTTTTCGGAAACAGTTTTTCTGCAATAACTTTTGACCCAAGCCTTGTACGAGCTTACTTTTACCGGCATCGTGTTCCTCTCGTCAAGACGCATCGAATGAACTATAACATGACCTTAAAAGGTCAACTTGAAAATTTGACCTCAGGTCAAGGTCATGACCTGACCTGAAAGGGTCATGCTGCATATCAGTCGATCCGTATCGTCGAGCTGAATACATCTAAGGCGTTTTCATCGCTCTAGCATGCCTCTATCAAAAGTTATTTGCGAAAAACTGTTAGATACCATTCGTGACCTAAGATGACCTCAGGGCATAAACAAGGGTCACGGACACCATTTTCATGTTCAGTGTGTCTAAACCACTTGTAATTCGGTGTTTGGGAGTGTTTATAATGTCTTTCGTCCAAAAGAGGCGCATTTCAATTTTCTCCCATTGACTTATAATGGGGAGGTCGCAAAATTGACCTGACCTTAGGTCATCGATATCAAAATTCTGAGATATACATTTTGTACATGCTGTTGCTCTTAGCAATCGCTGAAAGAAAGCGATCGGTCACTCGGTGTAGCTATGACAGACATTGAAACTTGTTATGAGGTGAGGTCACTTCAAGTGACCTGGTGACCTGACCTTGAATGACCTTGGTCTGAAATTTTCACAACATGTGTAGAATTGATGTATGATAAGGTGTACCAAAAATGGCGGCGCTCCGCGCCGCCGTTTTTGAGATATTCGCGAAAAACCACAAGGGGGGTGTTCAAACACCCCCCCCCCCAGCAGGACGCGGGTTAATGCTTATGGAGTGAACTGTCTTGTTTGAAATCGAAATAAGATTTTATTTCTATCGCTGAAGGATTATCTGAGGTCCTCTTCTATCCCACAGGAGAAGCCGGAGTCTCGTCACGCGCAGAAAAAGCTGGCTGAGAGTGTCACCACTCTGGTACACGGGGGGGAGGGGCTGCGCTCGGCCAAGCGCGTCACCAACGCCATCTATTCGCGGGATCCGGAAGCTCTAGTGTCGCTGGCGGACGCTGAGCTGCGCTCCATGTTTCGCCACTCGCCGGTCGCCGATCTATCTCTGCGGTCGGGAATGACCACACTAGACCTGGCGATGGCTGCAAAGTGCTTTAGGAGGGAAGGTAGGCTGCCACGTCGCTATCACTTTTTTTTCTTAAGAGAAAAGCATTAAATATTGCCTATCCAAAGCTTTGTCATGTTTCAGTTGATTGATTGCATTTCGTTTTGTTTCTTGAGGCGGTATTAATTTTTTTGGTAATGCCATTGAAAGCTACGTGATTTAGGAAAAAATATGTGGTATGAGCAATAAGCTGCAATTTTAAGATGTCCAAGTAGCAGCTGTGTTATCCGTTCCCTTTGTAACGTTCCGGACGCCCTCTCCCCGTCTGACCGACGGTGCTGCCACACAGCGGACGCGGCGCGAATTATAAGTGCGGGCGGCTTCCACATCAACCAGCGCCGAGTCACGTCCGCCGAGGAGGTGGTGTCGGCCGATAGTCACGTGCTGCCCAGCGGCCTAACGCTGCTGAGAGTCGGTGAGTCACGTGACCTGGCTGGGATGGACGGTGCGGGCAGGGTGCGGGTGTGTTTTAGACCATTCCAGGGCCGTGAGATGAGGTGATAACGTGGAGGGGGACTGAGTTGATCACTGCCCCCCTCGGCTGAGCCCGTCCCGGTGGGCGGGGTACCGAGCCGCTCCATCGGTCACCCCGCCGGGGACAGTAGCTGCTGTGGTAACACTAACATCCTCACCGACTGTATGAGAGGGACGGTCACTGATAGACTGAGTCAGGAACGGGGGTCAGTGAGCGCGAGTAACGTCGGGGTTCTTGAATTGTGAATTGGCTCGATATATGTCGAGTCCATGCGAGTCGTTTTTAGTTTATACCAGCTGTGTTGATATTTGTTCAATTTCGCCTGTGCACCTATATGCACTATCCAAGTCTACCTTAAGCTCATGTGTGAATAAATTATCCCGAGCCGTTCGCTGTATATGGATGTTGAATGGTTCCTGTAGCTTTTCGTCGTGCTCCATCGAAGTCTATTGTAACATATCATGTGCTCTCAACAAAAATCATTTCATTCAGCCCATAACCCAAGCAAACTACAAGATAATGTCATTTGACGAATACTCTGTTTTCTTTCAGGAAAGAAGAACTACTATATCGTCAAATGGGTGTAAAGAACTGACGACAATACTAAGAAGAGTCACCGCTCGTGTATCGGATAACGCCACGGCGTTTCGGATTATCGTGACACGGAGGGCAGTTTGTTGATCTCGATATGAAGCCGCTGTCCTCAGAAAGGCCATGAAATGCTCCGAGGAATGTGTACACTGTACGTACTGTTCAGGCATCGGTAGGATTGTGATTGCAGGATTGCAAAATCCTGATTGCATTCCTTTTTGGTGGATTGCACCTGGATTTGAAATCCATTCCAAAAAACAGGATTTGATTGCAGATTGGATTGCATCATGCTTCCAATTTTTGCAATCCAATCCGGATTGTGTTTGATTAGTGCTTTGAAATGGTTTGTTGCGATTGAAAATTATGAGATCGGCTTCATCGGCTTCATGTACTTTGCTATCAAGGGCTTTAGGTACATCGAAACTTGAAATAATTTAAACGCTTTTAATTTAAACGCTCAAAATAATATGCGCTGATGAACTACATAGGAAGGGCAAAATTACGTATTTGAGGGCGAGTTTTAAAAATATAAAACACTGGTTGGGTAGAGGTTTAAATGTGGGGGTGTTTGAGGCAAAAAAAAAATATTTCCCATAAAATACCTGTGCCTTAGATAGGAATTACTCGCAAGACTAGGTACTAGAAATGGGTGATTTGGGGATGGAGGCACGGCCCTATGCCCCCCCCCCTCCCCCAGATCCACTAGTGCACATAATAATACAACAGGATTGCAAAAAAGGATTGCGGATTTGATCACAATCCAAGTGAAAAAAGGGGATTGCGGGTAGGAATGCAATCCACTTCGGCACTAGGAATGTGGATTGGGAATGCAATCCTTTCAAAAAGGATTTTACCGATGCCTGGTACTGTTTTTATCAACAGTTACAGCATGTTTTGAACGTGTGTGTGTCTGTGATTGTGCGGACTTGCTGAAATGCAATCGGTGACTTCTAGCGTATGTTATCTAAAACTTTCTTTATTCACGGATGTCGCAGGGCAGATTTTGTCACGTGAAAGTTGACGGTTTGCTTACGTTGTCCTTTCCAAGTCCTTTCACCGCCCTACGGTATGTTTAGGCAAGGCGTGCCTTGGGCGTGCCCGGCGTGCCTACACAGTAGGTATCAAGGCCAGGTATACTGTGTAGGGGAGAGTGGGGCACATAGTGTCACTTTTTACAAAATTGGCTCTGGCGCCCACACTTTCAACAGCTGGTGTTTGATTCTTTCCTGATATATTCCCTACAGCAAGAGCTTCAAATGCCCCAATGGTGTTCTTGTTGCATCTCAATTGGTTTCGACGCTAGAGTCGGTTATGCGTCGACGCGTCATCTGACAGAAGCTGCCACATATACGGGGTAGTTTCTGTCACCTGCAGGGGCAGATTCTGTCAGTAATGGTTTATCACCGCATGCCATCCAGTGTCCCTGGAATGTTTCACTCAAGGGTTTCACTTGTGTTTTCCACTCATCTTTGTATAATTTGCATTTTATAGAGAATCTAAGATCTCGGAAATTTACCGGCCGATTTTCAAAATTCAAGCGGCGTTCGATAGCCCCACCCAGGAACTACCTTGTGACCAAATTTCATTGACCTAGGTCAAACCGATGACGTCACAGGTCAGGTCAAAGGTCGGATTTTCAACGTTCACGGGCATTTTCAAGAAATGTGTTGTGAAATCAAGTAAATTGGTAAGTTATTGAAAACCATCGATGGTACATTGTTCGTTAAACACATACTTCGCTATCTGAGGTCACTGATACCAGGTCAGGTCACAGAGGTCAGGTCACTGGGGGTCACCTGGGGGTCACAATATGAAAGTGTCGTCTGATACATGTTTTATGGTCCATTTTACATGACAAATGCGATTACGTGGATCAGGCAGCCTTTGGGGCCAGCTTAGGTCACGTTTTGGTGAAGGTCAGGTCAAGGTCAGGTCAAATTAGGTCAAATTTCAAAGTTGATATTTTTGCATAAAATGGGTATCCATTCGATGCAGCTCGTCACGGGGAGTCTAATGGTGGTCTTTGTTTTGCTCTACGTGGTCTAGAATTGCCAAAAATTGAGTTTGAAAATTTGACGTCATCATTTTGGAACAGTTTTTTTCGCTATAACTTGGACAAAAAAACAAGATATTGATCTGAAATTTGGTATGTAGATAGAAGACGGTAGGTACTAACACATATATTCCGTTTTTTCCAAACTCAAAAAACTTTTTGGATTTTTTGGCAAATCTATCCAAAAAATTGCTTTTTTGATTTTTGGGGGTTAAGACTCAAAAATTTAAAAATCCGAGATACAGTTTTGTAGCCCTGCTAATTCTACACCTTTTATGTCTTGATCATTTTTCTGTATCTTCAAAGCTGTAGGCCTGACAGCTCTTCTCGCGAAGGTCTTTTTTTGGTCGAAAATGGCAGAACATGACGTCACTCTGACGTCATTTGTGGCCAACCTATCATAGCCTCTGGAAAAATTTTTGGTCACAATGTGTAAAATTGATGGCCGGAGGGGTCCTGAAAGTTTGGTGGCGATAACTCAAGCCGTTTAGGAGATATGGACGGAAAAGGACAGGGGGGGGGGCGTTTCGGCCCCCCCTACGGGGCGCGGGTTTTAATTAAGGGCAGAGAAGCACCATCTTGAAACAAAGTTGTTCACATTATTGACAAGTTTCTGGCTCGAGAAAGTGTTAACAATAGGTTCACGCAATTCAAGGAACACACCGGCGGCCATAGACCCAATCAAAGGCTCACGGCGAACACCACTCGTGTGAGAGATACTCTACTCAGACTGTCAATGGTCAGCGATATCGGGTGGCTCTGGCGACGTTTTGGAGGGTTCTGCAGTATCAGGATGAGCAGAGATCCGGTAAAGCTTAACCCTTGCCGGCACAGGGGGGGGGGGATGCAACCCCCCTAAGGTTTTTCGCGAATAAGTGGCGTAAAAGCCGGCCGATCGCGACGAAACTTGCAGTACCCTCGCACTGATCAATTTTACACCTACCCTGTAAATTTCATGACCCTGACCCAAATGACCTTTGACCTGTGACCTATTTTCCGAGTCCATGTTTGGCCGGAATAGCGATTCGGCGTACATATGTCGGCTCGCATTAGCCGCGCGTTTGCAGTCTTTTCGTGGTTTCAAGCGTTCAAACATGTGATTTGATGTTGCTCCCATGCATTAGGATGTATGTCAAGGTCACCTGAAGGTCAGGTCATTGACCTTTGATGACCTCGGTTCCCTTTTTCGAGTTTTCATGTTTCTAGGCTAGTTTTTGGAGCTGAATGCGAATTTAGCAGCCATTTGAACATTTAGGGGAGAGTGGGGCAAAGCGGCCACCCGGGGCAAAGCGGCCACCCATCGTTTCAGCCCTTCATAGCTGGCGTCAGTTCCAATTTATGGTTTCCAATTATACTTCTCTTCACGGTCGTTCGAATGAGCCAGACCGGGGTTTCAGGCCCATCACCATTGTTCTGTGAAACACGGAAAAGCATTTCTTGCCAGGTTACCAACTATGTTTAAAATTTTTAAATGTTATGTTATTTCATAACCGTTTGGTATTTTTATAAGCGTTCTTGTCCATGCATTACATGGTTATCGTACATGTATTCTACCAATTTTAATGTTTTTAACCCCACTAATAGCTAAGCTGGAATCTTTTTGTCTCGGACGGTATGCGCGGGGCAAAGTGGCCGGGGCAAAGTGGCCACCCCCCAATTGGCCATAAATTGTTTCCATCTGGATAAAAAACATTATTTATATTCAAATGTGTCGTCATGCATTCATCTTGGCCACTTTTCAGTTGCATGAGTTACCAAATATTGCAATTAAACGTTTTTTTCTGAAAATCCTTTCTTTGTCTACCTACAGGTGGGATGCTGACAAAGCAAACATCCATCCTCGCTTAAACCTTGTCACCATCAAATACCTACCCTAGTCGCACATGAGGCAACTATTTTGTGTCTCATGTCGGGACTTGAGAAGACGCCGGTGGCCGCTTTGCCCCAGGGTATGGGGCAAAGTGGCCAATATACATAGGTTTAAAGTTTTGTCAATATCTTCCATATGTGAAAGCCTTTGGAAATATAACGCAGTTGAAATAAAAGGCAACTTAATAGGGATCACATTGGTATAGAAAGAATCTTTCCAAGTTTAAAGATCAAGCGTTGGCATCGTGAGAAGCGTTAGGGTGGCCGCTTTGCCCCACTCTCCCCTACGAAGTAGTTTTGGTGCCTTCGTAACATGCTTCGAAGCTGTCAGAGGCGGTTGACACGTACTAAGAATATCCGACACGACCCCAACTGGTTGACCTGACCTGACCTGACCTGACCCGACCTGGCCGAAATGCATAAAGACATCATCTGTGATCAAAACTAACATGATATTCGTGATCAGCATACCGAAAAAAACCATGGCAGCCACACTTTACGACGTTCTAACAGGTCCCGATTTTCCCGACTTTTGGGTCATTGGCCTGACCTGGAAGGTCAACCGATGACCTAGGACCTTAAAATTGGGTATCATCGGCTTCCTCTCGTAACGAGCAACACGCTCGTTTTTACCGCGAAGCTCTAGCTCGATCAGGGGCCAAACGCGAGGGGGGTCGTACCACCCCCCCCCCCCCTTGTGCCGTCGAAGGACGCGAAATGGCCCGTGTGCCGGCGAGGTTTAACTCATTTAAGATCCAATGGTTCCAGCAAGACGATGCCACGCCAATACCACTAAAGAAAACCGGGAGGGGCTGTGGGAGCGCTTCTGGCAGCGCGTGATCTCGAGGTTCGAGGAGACACACCCGTGGTTGTCGAATTCTCCCAACGCAACCCCACCGGACTTTTTCCTATAGGACCACCTCAAGTCCCAGGTGTACCGAAACCACCCAAAAAGTCCCAAAGATCATAAGGATGCAGTGAAGTCAGCGGTGCGCCGTCTGCAGCCTTCCGTGGGTCGTGCTGCAGTAGAGATCGCGCTGCGCCGGGCTATACATACTGTGCATGGAGCGAAAAGGGAGTCATCTCGAACATGACCTCGGCGCGGCTCAGAAAGGCGACTGCCGAGGGTCGAAATCCCCTCGAACGAAATGTCTTTGATGAGGCTTTCAGGTGATACCCAATTATTTTTTTTGTTACACTGATATACCCTTAACCTTCCAGGCGGTGGGGGGGGGGCATTTTTTTGCCCCCCCCACTTTGGTTTTTTCGATATATCTCCAGAACCGCTGCGCCGATCGTCACCAAACTTTCGGTACCCTCCCGTGAACAGCTATTGCACATTGTGACCAAAAATTTTTCCAAAGGCTATGATAGGTTGGCCGCTAATGACGTCAGATTGACGTCATTTCTGCCATTTTCGACAAAAAAAGGTGAGATACAGAAAAATGTTTCAGACATAAAAAGTGTAAAATTGACAGGGCCACAAAACTGCTATCTCGGATTTTTGAAATTTTTGGATGGTCTATCTACATACCAAATTTGAGATCGATACCTCTTTTTGGCCAAGTTATAGCGAAAAAACTGTTCAAAAATTGATGACGTCAAATTTTCAAATTCAATTTTTAGCAATTCTAGACCCCGTAGCGCAAAACAAAGACCACCATTAGACTCCCCGTGACGAGCTGCATCGAATCAACACCCATTTTATGCAAAACTATCAATTTTGAAAGTTGACCCCTTTTGACCTGACCTTGACCTGATCTCCACCAGAAAGTGACCTTAACTGTACCTGATGGTCCTTTAACCAACATTATTGAGTTGGAAATGAAAAATTGGCCGTAAAACACGCATCGCACAACCTTAGTTAAGTTGGGTTTATGTGGTGACCCTTGGTGACCTGACCTGTGACCTGACCTGGTATGACTAGTGACCTCTAATAGCAACATATGTACTAGGCAACTGACGCCCTATCGCTGATTTTCGACAAAATACGTTTTCCTCGGTGTTATAGCGCTTTCCCTAGAAGACCCGT